CACTTTTGAAGGGCATTTTTCTAGATGTAAACTGCCTTGGTCCTTCAGAAAAGAATACTGAGCAAAACCGTGTAGTTTCTTGAACTCAGAGACGTGTTAGGCACAGAACTGTTTGTGATGGCGATGGTGATGATGGCTGCTGTGGGCCCAGTTGTGCCCCACCCCCTGCAAATTCATACGTTGAGGCCCTAACTTAGCCCCCAGTAGCTCAGAATGTGCCTCTATTTGGAGAGAGGGCCTTTAAAGAGGTGACTAAGTCCAAATGAGGGTGGTTAGGGTGATCCGATCTGACTGGTGCCCAGTTCCTCATTTGCACTAGTCACATTTCATGTGCTCGAAAGCCACCTATGGCCAGTGGCTACCATACCGGACAGCACAGACAGGGGACATTTCTGTCACCTCGAAAGTTCTACAGGGTAGAGCTTCTCTACACTAGTAAGAGCCTAGAAGGAGGCCTTCCACTTTGTGTGTTACAGACTTATGTGCATGTTTACATTTTTCATAATAAATGAGAAAGTATGCTATTATCAGAAAAATAGGAACACATTTCCTGCATAAAAAAAAAATAGACTGTTTCCAAGGTAACAGTCTATTTTTTTATGCAGGCAGTAGCTTATTATCATTATTCAAAGTGTATATTTGTGTGTGTATACACTTTTCAAGTATGTTTTATAATGGAAATATTTTTAAATATTTAGAAAGAAGGAAAACACGAATCACCTGGCAGGCACACTGGTGGGTCCCTGACCCAGCAGCTTTCCAGCCTTGGCTGACTGAGTCTCTTAGCCTGCTCAGGCCTCAGTTTCCTGATTTGTGACAGAATCCCTGTACAAATCTTGGAGAATGATTTACAAGCACAACGATGTGTGGAACAACCTTTCGCAACTGAGGAACGTGCTATACAGAGGTGAAGCGTCAGTAAATAAGGCCAGAAAAGGCAAACCTGAACGCCCCACATGACCATGACCAGGGCTCAGCAGCCTTGCCCACTCCCGAGTGGAGTATTTTCAAGATGCTGCTGAGGTCACCAGGAGCAGAGGGAAGTGGTTGTCATATCCCCACAACTGTCATGGCTTGGCAATTTAGAAATAACTACAACAACGTAATTTTATTTGTTTAACAAGCACTTATGTAGTACTTGCTTTTTGCCAGGTGCTGTTCTCTGTGCTTTGCAAATATTTACTCATTTAATCCTCCTATAACCCTGAGGTAGTCACTGTTAGTATGGTCATTCATGTGGGAGGAGATCGAGCCTCAGAAAGGTCAAGTAACTTGCCCAAGGTCACATAGCTTAAGGGGTGAGTGTCTACCTAAGGCAGTGTGGGCTTTCTCCTTCTGTCCTTTCTCACTCCACCTCTTGCCCCATCAAATACGGTCATAGAGTTCCTTATGCCACCTTATTTATCTCAAGGGCATGAGATTGAGATTTTGGTATGAAATCACATGACTGAGGTTCTCGACTGACTTAGTAGCTTCAGTTCTAGTTTTCTGGCTGAGTTTGGTACCATGGCAAAGTGGGGATGGGCTGGGGAATCAGGCTGATCTGGGCACCAGCCAGTGATTTGCCACTTAGTAGCTGTGTGACTTTGGGCAGGCTACTTAACTTCTCTGATCTTCAAATGGCATTTCAGGAGGGTCGGGTCACCGACCTGTTACCTGTTGTGACAGTGCCTGGCATCATGTCAGGATGACAGTCAATGCCTTAATTCCCATCTTCTCCTTCATCTTCATCTTAAGTGGTGAGCGTTGGCTTCAGGATTCGGAGATGCCTGTCTTTAAGGAGTTTGTAGCATGGCCTCGGTGGGGGCTGGGGGACATTCTATATCAGGCGTCAGGGGACCCAAGTCCTGGCTGTCTTCTGCCTCGGAGACCTTGGGCAAGTTTCTTGCTCTGCTTTGCCCCACTTTGTCATCTGTAAGTGGGGCCTGGACTGGCCCCGCACTGAGGCCCCTGCCTGTCCTGTCATCTTCTGATTTGTCATCTGTGGGTCAGGACAAGCCCGTGCCCGCAGGGCCAGCGCCGTAGCAGGTGGATCCGGGGAGTTTCAGTTCTTCCCTTCAGGCCACTCTTGCCCGTGCTCCCAAGGGCTCCCTCCCTGCGGTGCTCTGGGGAGGCCTCCTGGCCCTGCCCAGAGGTAGGAACGGTGGGGACAAGGACGGCCTCCGTTCTCTTCCCCCGGCAGGATTGAGAGTGGCGGATCAGGGCGGTGAGAAATGAGTCAGAGGCAACTCCTTGTTGTGTGTGTGACTCTGCAGTTGATTCGTGGCTACGGGAGCCACAGTCATCGTTCTTGGCTGAGAATCACCCTCATTCGAGAGAGGTTGTGTGTGGGGACAGGCGGTCGTGTGCGTTGCTGGGTACTCAGGCAGTGGAGTGGGTGGCCGGGGGGCACCGACTGAGAAGTGCAGGGAACAGGAGCCAGCGCCATCCTCAGTGTCTTCCAGCCTCCCGGGGAAGTGTGTGTTTCGGCAGGAAGGTGGAAGGTAAACTCCTGGAACAATCCGTTCTGCTCACTCTTCCTCTTCTCTGTAGCAGTGCCGTGGAATGAGAGGCAGCTCCATCTCCCCGAGTTTAAGATCCTCGTAAAGGGAGTCAATATCCTGTAATTACACGGGTGAATTGCACTTAGCAGGCCCATTTCAAGAAGGGCAGAGAAATGGATCCTGTCTTGCTAGGGTGACCTTTACTGGACAAGTTAAATCCCAAAGCTAGCCAGTGAAACGGTTTGGAAGGGGCTTGCGTGGCTTTATGTCTTTTCCTTATTTGTTGATTTGCATAGATCTTTCCAAATGATCCAGTGGTAGTTTGACATTTTGAGACCTTCTAAAACTTAGCAGGCCTATTATGACTTGCCCAGCATTTATGGATACTGTTTTATTAACTATTGGCTCATTCTGAGCCTGGGGTGGAGGGGCAGAGACTATGCAAGAAAATCGTACACAAGTCTGCTCTCCTTTTTAAAAATAAAGCTAAGAGACAGGAGAAGCCATTTCTTTTTTGGTTTGGCTCTTGGTATTACAAGTTCATTGTCATTGTGTCCATTACCTACAGACAGCTTCTAGCACCTCCTATGTCCAATCAAAGGACTGCTTTGGTGCCCGTCAGAGCAGTCTAGATTGCTCAAGCTCTGACCACAGCAGCGTGTTAAATTTGGTGGTGGCACCTCAGTTCCTCCTTCTTCAAATGCCACAGCTGGAGCTGCACGCCCTCCTCCTCTGCCAACCTGAAGGTTGCCACTCATGGCCGGAACATCTCTTTTTCTTTCACCGTTGGTTTCTGGGACAGAGTAGAATTAGCTAGTGGGAGAGGCAACAGTGAGAATACTTCTGGCCTAAATCTGCTAAACCCTCAGGAAAAAAGTGACTATAACCTGGGAGGTGTTTCTTTCTGTCCTTCGCTCTGTTGAGCCCCCAAATTTATTTTGAGTCCTTCATTTAGACTGTAGATTCACTAAAGAGTAAGAGACTGAAATTACAGGGCCGCGGGTGCCAGAGAGAGAAACAGATCCACCTGAACAGAAGTAGCCAGTCCTTGAGGCCCTGGGCTCTGCCGTTCTCCTGGGCATGTCCCATGGTCTCCTTTCCTCTCTCACCGGCCCTAGGAGGTTGGCACTGCTAACACCTGAGGACTTTGGACTCAGTGTGTCCAGAGCCACACAAAAAATTGGGAGTGGCCAAGTTAAGACTCGAACCCAGGTTCACTCCAAAGCCATTGCCTCTCACCATGAAGCCATAAAGTCTCCCAGGAACTGCCACAAGGGAACAATATCCTTGAGCCCAACCCTGCAGGGTAAGTCGGGTTTAGAGAAGCAGAGAGGGAACAGGAGAGAATTCTGGGTAAGGGGAGCAGTAGGTAGGATGAGAAGCCTGGGGGAGGGACCGAGTGTGACATGACACAATAGTGCCCCACAGGGCAGAGCCACCGTGGTCTCCAGGGCCATCGTTGTTATGTCTCCCAGTGCCTGAGTGAGTGCCTGTGCTTAGTAGGTGCTTAATAAATATTTATTGCATAAATGAATACACCAACAGACAGTTATCTTTCCTATTGACTGAGTCCTTTGAGGGCAGGGACTTGGTCTCAGAAGTCTTTGGGTGCTCCACAGCCCACAGTGGTCAATTAATAGTAAACACCCTGTGAATATGCCCTGACGGAACCAATGAACAAACAGCAGGTAAGGGATGGTGAGGGTCTGTGCCTGAGTGAGGAGACACTGATATTTTGGGAGACACTGAGGAATACCCATGGACTAGCATGGTAAGGGCGTATCATGAAAGGTGTTCAGTGCCAGGACAAGAAATTCTTGTGTTCTTCTGGAGGCATTTTTTTAAAAGCCATATCTCGTCAGACCTGGTGGCTCATGCCTGGTGGCTCATCCCAGCACTTTGGGGGACCAAGGCAGGAGGATCGCTTGTGGTCAGGAGTTTGAGACACAGCCAGAGCAACATAACAAGACCCTGTCTTTACGAAAAATAAAAAAAGAAATTAGCTGGGTATGGTGGTGGTTGCTTGTAGTCCCAGCTACTCAGAAGGCTGAGGTGGGAGGATAGCTTGAGCCCAGGAGTTGAAGGCTGCAGTGAGCTGTGATCATGGCATTGCACTCCAGCCTGGGCAACATAGTGAGACTGTGCCTCTTAAAAAAGAAAAAAGCCATCTCTTATTGCACAATACTTGGGCTTCAGGCACCCAGGCAGTGTCCTAACTGACGGGTACACGTGGGAACCAGAGTCACGCACAGCTCAGAAATCGCTTTTCTGCAGGACTGCCCTCCTCCTGGCCCCATGGTTACAGTCTTCCCACTTTGGGGTGACCACACTGTTATATAATCAAAAACAAGCCTGTGACAACTTACAAATGGTTCGGAACCTGCAGTGAATGGATGCTATTGCTGCGTCCGGGAGTTGTTTTGGGGATAGTTTTGCTAGAAAGTCCCAGACAAAATCCTCTAAGATGTGGTCTGCTCGGACCAGGAGTTCTCAGTGAACGCTGCCCTCTCTTTTCAGGTGTTGGCTACATTTTTGTGATTTTAAGAAAGCCTGAGGGCGGGAAGGCAGCCCCGGGAGAAGCCCTTTTCCTGGGCAGTGAGAACCTTCCGGTGCTAGAGGCGAAGCCGAACCCTCACCTGGACTTATGACCCGCGGCTTCCCTCCCATTCTGCCCGTCGAGTTCCACAAGATGGGCTCCTTCCGCAGGCCCAGACCGCGCTTCATGAGCTCCCCGGTGCTCAGCGACCTGCCCCGATTCCAAGCCACCCGGCAGGCTCTGCAGCTGAGCTCCAGCTCGGCCTGGAACAGGTAAAGGAGGTGGCCGGGTGGGCGGAGGGCTGCCAAGGCCCAGGGCAGGGCAGGGCAGGGGCATCTGGGCGCTGGCTGAGCTGCTGCTGCCCCTGGGATCTCTGCTTCTGGAATGCCGCGATTACAGGGGCAGATGACATTGAGAGCAAGTTTTCTTACGTCCAGTGGTGTCCGTTAGCTTACCTTATCTTAGCAGCGAAAAAGTAGATCACCAGGAGCCTCTGGCCTTTCAGAGTCAGTTAACCAGCCCGGGACAGTTGGATTGGAATTTGCAGTGACTGTTCATGCCCATTAGTCACATGTACCGAAGGTGGGCTCATCATGTAGTTGCCACCTTTCCATTTGGGAAGAGAAGACATATATCTATGAAGAGTTTAATGAGTGGCATAAACCGAAGAGTATCAGTACCTGTGAGCCACAGGTGTTTGGGAGTTTTGTTAGGTGTCTAGCCCACCTTTCCTGCACCCAGCAACGCGTGGAGACCGAATCACCACTATGTCTTATGCTCTTGTGGGCTACCCCTTTTCAAATGTATGCAGATACTCTTTGGATAAATTACATGTATCATTACTTTTTTTTTTTTTTTTGAGACAGAGTCTCACTCTGTTGCCTGGGCTAGAGTGCCATTGTGTCAGCCTAGCTCACAGCAACCTCAAACTCCTGGGCTCAAGCGATCCTGCTGCCTCAGCCTCCCGAGTAGCTGGGACTACAGGCGTGCACCACCATGCCCGGCTAATTTTTGCTATATATTTTTAGTTGGCCGATTAATTTCTTTCTATTTTTAGTAGAGATGGAGTCTCACTCTTGCTCAGGCTGGTTTCGAACTCCTGACCTTGAGCGATCCTCCTGCTTCGGCCTCCCAGAGTGCTAGGATTACAGGTGTGAACCACCATGCCCAGCCCATGCATCATCATTTTAAAGCATGACTGAATTCTTTGTTGTTTGGGTCAGTATGGGTTTTTTCAATGAATGGACACAGAAAGCACAACTCCGATGATGGGGATTTGAGTTGGAACTCTGAAATGTTTTGGTGTTAAATAGATTCTTGTTCTTTAAACAAAAGACCCCGGGGCCCTGGATAGAGGCAAGATTGTAAGCAACTGTTTTGCTGAAAGATTGGGCTGGGGTCCCAGAGCCTGTGGCATTAAGCTGCCCCTCAAGGGACTAACTCTTACTACCTGTACACTGCACAGGAGTGGGAATGGAAGTGGCCTGTAAAGGAAACCAAAAAGCAAAGGGGCTAAGGAAAATGCTATTAAAAAGGCATGGAACTGTCATTTCATGTTAGTGCCAGGCCACCAAGCTGCCCCGTGAAGACAGTGGCCTCCTAGGAGAAAGATCCCCACAGGTCAGCTCCTGCTTGCAGAAAATGCCATTTCGGATTCTTCCAGGCCCAGTTTCCTGAGAGCAGATCCCAAGGCCTGCCCTTTATTGTCACCGCGCACCAGCAGGGCTGCCAGGGAGGCGAGGGAGGAAGACCTGCCCGCCCTTAAGAAAGCGGGGGCCACTTTGGAGTCCTTTGAGCTCGTCTTCCTTCCTCTCCAAGGACGCTGAGAAGGAAATGGTAGATTCCAGGCATGGGGAACGTGGCCGTGTTCGTGCCATGGGTTTCCTGGCCCTTCCACCCACCTTCGGCCCTGAGCTGCTTGTTGAAATGGCCCTGAAGGCAGATTCTCTAACCAGGATTTTTTCTATTTCCCTGCAGCGTCCAGACTGCTGTGATCAACGTGTTCAAAGGGGGTGGCTTGCAAAGCAACGAGCTCTATGCACTGAACGAAAACATCAGGTATGTGGCAGGCCAGGTCTGGTGCTGCTTCCTCCCATGGGCTTGAGCTGGGGCAGAGGGGGCCACCCCACCAGGAGCCTTACCTTAACTTTTGTAATGTTTTGTTTTTCCTGCTGGGTTCTTGTTGCTTTTTCTGTCAGCTATTATGTTGCTCTTACGGCTATTGACTTCTGATCCAGAGACAGTTCATCCATTTGTTCACATATATAGTGTGTTCTAGGGGGTAAGGGGTGGAGGGTTGATAGGTGGCAGCTGTCATTTATTCTGTAAACATCTATTGTGCTCTGCTTAATCATTAGGGACCATATCAGGCCGCATGGCCTCGTGGTCAGAACCAGAATGCTTGGGATTTTGTTGCTATACTTTTACTAAGTGGTTTACCAACAAATGTTTGAGTGTCTTCCTGTTGGCCAGGCACCAGAGAGACAACAAGGAGAAAAGACAGAAGTGGAACCTGCCCTTCTGGGATTTATTTTCACTGGGAAGATAATCAGTAGTTACTTAGTCACACATGTAAATGTACAATGCAACTCTGACAGCTGCTACAACATAGTTGATGGGATGAAAGCATCTGTTAGTATGACCTGATCTTGCCAGGGAGGCCAGGAATGTGGATATGATGCTGGTGCTGTGATCTGAAGTGTCAATGGGAATTAACTAGGAGAAGAGGGCTCCAGATGGTAGGAACTGCATGTGCAAAGGTCCTGTGGTCGCAACGAGCAAGGAACCAAAAGAAGGCCCAGCCAGGTGCGTAGTGCACCAGAGGTTGGGTTGGGTAGGGATGTGATTGGGTTTGTGTTTTGGTGAAATGAGGGTGGAAAGTCAGGCAGGTCCCTGAGCACCAGAGTCTCCTAGGGATAGGAGGTTGAACCATCAGAACTTTTAATGCCCTGGCATTCATTCCTCTCTGGGTGTGTTAAGTGCAGAACATCAAGGCTAAAGAGCCAGCCCTGGAGTGGGCAGAACAATAAACAAGGCCATAATTCGAGTCCTGTTTACTTTTAGTTAAGGCCCGTATAAAGGGTAAATGAGGTGTTTTAAGAGCTCTGCTTCCATTAAAACCTTTAGAGCTCATAAGTAAACAGAGTCGTGTTAAATTTCTCCCCATGTGCTTGAATTTCACATCATACTTACATAAATATGGAAAGAGACAAAAGCGATTATCTAGCCCGAAGCCTCATTTTACAGAGGAGGAAACTGAGGCTCCAAGAAGTTGAGTGATGGGGCCAAAGCTGGGTCAGCCAACCCCCAGGTTGCGAGAGCTCAGTTTTCCTCTAAGAACTGCAATACTGAGATCCTGGTCTTTCCATGAAGTTCTCTAGCTCACAATAGAAGTGTAAATAAATAAAACAGCGACTCAGGAACGTGCTCATTGTTCCTCACTTCGGGAGGCTGATCCTGAAATTGTACTTAAAAGCTCTGTTTGTGGGCAGCTAGGAAAAGTAGAGGCCAAGCCAGATGTCACCAGCCCTGTTAGCCCCGGGACTGCTCACTCAGAAGCCTTTGGGTGCCAGGCAGGCCTTCTAAATGGGCAAAGCTGGCCTGGGTGCCCAGAGGCAGAATCTCACCCTCTATTGAAAGGGGATTACTTTGGCAGGACACAGGTGCAGTGATATATTGTCTCATTTCTCAAGAAGAACCGGAAATTGAGATTTTTATGTGAGATTTCCTGACTTTCAAATGTTGGTAAATAACCCAAATTTCCCAAACATTGGAGCAGGCCAAACAAAACACATCTGTGGACTGAACGTGGCCGGCAAGCTACCCCCTACGGGATCAGCTGTCGCAGCGTGGGGAGACGTTGCCGCTGGGGGGTGAGTCCCGAAAGTGCTGGGCACCTTCCCCGTGCATCGATATGTTCAAGAGAAAATTATGGATAAGAGAAACGATATAACTTGTCCAAGGTCAGGCAGCTGTTGACGGTGGAGTCAGGATTTGAACTCCTCTCTGATCTAGGCATCTGTTATTAGTCAGCATGGGCTGCCATAACAGATACCATAGACTGGGTGGCTTAAACAACAGAAATTTATTTCTCAATGTTCTGGAGAGGAGGAAGTCCAAGGTCAAGGTGCTGGCCAACTCAGTTTCTGGTGAGGGCCCTCTTCCTGGCTTGTTGATGGCCACCACTCAGTGTGTGCTCACCGGACCTCTTCTTTGTGTGTGTGAGGAGGGGAGCAAGATCTCCGGTGTCCCTTCTTATAAGGACACTAATCTCATCGTGAAGGCCCTATCCCCATGACTTTATCTAACCCTAATCACTCCCAAAGGCCCCATCTCCAGATCTCACCATATAGGGGGCTGAGGCTTCAACATACGAATTTGAGGGGGCACACAGCAAAACCTTTGTTCTTTGCACTATGTTGTCATGTCAGAGAGAGAGAGAGAAGTTTTATGTTGGGGAGAAGGGTTAAGCTGATGGTTCCTGATCTTTTTTTTCATCATCATTCCTGTCCCCAGGCCTCTGTGAGCCATCTCTCATCGTGTCCTGTGATTGACACCCCACCCGAGGAACATGGCACTCCCCCAGCCCCCTTCTCTAGTGTTGGGGTTAGGGGTGCCACTAGAGGTTCCTCTCTGTTTTGAGTGATTTTTCAGATTGGTGGGAAATGCATACAGTGGGGGTTTGAAGCTATTTGCTCACATGTGCATTGAGCCCAGAATAAACCAAAGCTGTAAGCAAATCAGAGCTTTCACTCCCCGTGTTTCTGCACCTCTGTTTTCTGGTCTCTAATACAATGGCTAGAGTGGAGACTCAGGGCATAACCGAGAGCATGAAGCGCGTCCCAGGCATCGATGTGACCTGGGCATCCCAAGTTGACTAAAGCCAACTGACCTGCACATGCTCCCACTGCTGCAAGACCCTATGTGGAAATAAACACAGCTGCCCTATTTCAGAATCTAAAACACTGACATGGACAGGCGCTTTCTGGTTGCATTCGAATAGACCCTTGGGTTTTGATTTTCCTTTTCTTTTTCCTTTTGGCAGACTTGTTTGCAGAGTAGGTACATCAGCGCAACAGGATTGGGGCATGACCAGTGGGGCACGTGGCGAAGGGGGCACAGGATGGTAGGAATGTTAGAAAGGAGATACGGAAGGAGAGAAGGCTACGTTGTTCTCAGGCCCATTTTTCCATCAGTTGTGACAGTCCTGTTTGCAAGAAGATCTGTGCTGGGTTCAATAGAATTTTTTAACTTAACAGCTTCTGAATTCAGAGACTTGGGGATCAAGATCAGGCTAGTGTGTGGCCTTGGGCAAGTTACTTCATCCTTCTAAGTCTGTTTTTTCTTTTATAAAATGAAGGTAATAATAATAGCACCAACTTCAGGGTAGTTGGGAGGATTGGGATAATGCTAAAAGCATCCTTAGGACAGGATCTGGTGTATAATAAATGTTTAATAAATCTTAGCCATTATTCTTATCATGGGGAACATTTAGGAATAATAAACTGATAAATGAGGGGTGCGTATTGTGCATGAGAGCACAGAGCAGCGTGATGAATTGCTCCATGCACAGCACTGTATAAAGACTTCTCCAGCAGTTTGGATGGGCTGAGTGAGCTCACTTTGAACTGGAGAGTCTGGGACCGGCTCCTCAAAGAGTGTGCTTGGACTTGAAGTTTGGGTGAGGCTAAGTGCTTACAAGGAGAGCCAGCTGTTTCTCCTTTCCACAGAGGAAAGAGCAAGAGGAAATGACTTTCTCAGTTCTTCATTCTACTCAAGCCAAACGATAATAAACTTTTTGATGGATTATCCAAGTCCAGTGTTGAAGCCTAAATCAGTTTCCTTGGGCCGCCCATCTTAGCTGTCCCTGGCCACCTTTCTAATTATGGAGTTAGCGTGTACCTGGGCAACGTGAATTTATTTAAATATTAGCCAATGCAAAAGATGAATGGGAAGGTCGATATTTTATGTAACCAGGTCCTATAATGCAGTCATTACAAATAATTGGCCCATTGTCTTAAGACGTGTCATTGAAAATGGGCTCTGGTTTAAATTTTAGCGGACAGAATTTGAGCTTGCTATGATGAAGAACTTGGGACTGAGGATAGCCAAGTCCTAAAACACAGTATTGGATCCACAGACATCTGTCTCTGTACTTTAAGAGTAAATTCATCAGAAATGTCACACCTCAATATAGCGGCCAATGTTCCCCCAAATAAAAGTCAGGGCACATGATCTGTTGATATGAAAGTCATAAATAAGAATATTTTCTAATGAAACTGCTTTAGAAAGCAGAGCTTGTACGTTGTTATATCCCTAAAGGCAAGAAAATGACTTTTCAGAGTAGACATACTGTGGCTAAATCTCCCAGTCATCACATAATCTATAATTCTGGCACCCCCCAATTTCCATCTCCCATAGCGTGGGCTGATCCTGGGAGCCTTCTTGTTTGAATTCTCTGTGGGTCACTGATGGGGTTTTCAACGCCCCTCCCCAGCCTCACCCGTGATGTGGCTGCATTTTGGCAGTTGGGATGAGTCTGGTTAGAGGTTTGGGTTTCATGAGCTCGTCCAAGAACAAGAATGGCGAAGCTCTCTGGCCCAGGGGCACACTCTTCCTAAACAGTCCTTCCAGCCAACCCTCCTACTGATTTTACGTGACCAAGAAGAGTTAGAAAAGTGGGGGGGAGGGGAAATACCCCCAAGGTTTATGTTTACTGGTTCTTGTAAGAACCTATACAAAGTAGGTTTTTTAAAGTGCTTTCAGGTGTTGATTGGTTGGAGCGTTGTGTCTCTAAGGAGGGGTCATTGATTATTTATAGAACGAATGTGTGTGGGGTGCTATGCTGGGTGCTGGGCTGTGTTCTAGAATGGCCACTGGGTAGGTGGTTCTTGATTTGGGGGAGCTTACAGCAGAGTGAGAGAGGGGACCTAAGCCGGCAGTTATCACATGATGGTTTTCGTGGGGTGAGAGCGGAATCCGGAGTGCTGGGGCTGTGTGGGGGAGGGGCGCATAATTAGATTCAAGAGAAAATGATACCTAAGTTGGAATATGAAAGG